AACCAAGAATGTATGGAAGCTAGAATGACAAACAACCGGAGCAAACCTCGGAAGTACTCTTCGTAAAAGATTGGAAGATTTGTTTAGGGTATATAATGCTGGCATATTAATAATGGTCAATCGATTTGAGTAATTCGTTATGATAACAAATATTACTTCAGTAACTCTCATTATTGTGGTCAAAAGGAATCTAGAGCAAACGATAACAATGGAAAGGCTTGTATTATTGAATGCGATAATTTTGACGAGTTCGTGAGGATATGTAAACGTACAACAGGCCGCAAAAACGTATCATTTACGCTTGATTACATCAATGTTGAAACCTTGGGTGGTGTACATGATAGTTCTGAGGAGGTAGACACTCATCGGAGCATTGATGGGGTAGCAGCAGCATCCCAAACAATTCTTCTCAACAGAATTTAATTCATCAAACTATTCCACCGCAGACATAAATAATGGCACCGATTTATATAATGCCTCCTAATGTGTAAGATAAGTTACAGGTTTCACGAAACCTTAATGAAATTACCTGCAAGATGAAAGACAATATCGTAAATGTGGGTTATGAACTGAAAGCAGAAGGATTTGCCTGGTACTTTTTTCCCCTGTGGGAAAAACGGTTTTACAGAGCAGAGGCCTGTTTAAATTATATCATTGGACTACTATCAGTTTACGATTTTGTAAAGTGACACAAAATTTCAACGTTCGACTATTCCTTTTATGTTTTATCGTTCTTTGAATATTATCGCATCAAAATAGTGCTTTTGATCAGCATGCGGCAAAAAAATTGTTAATCAAGAAGGAGCAGTTGAGGACGTCCATCTCTCTCAAGAATCTGAGAGGTTATACAGCCTGTTGGAGTTCAGCCTTAAATGAGCTATTAGCTCAATCAGATGTATAGGAGCTCCAACCTATTTTGTAACATTTAGTTCGAATGATCTCCACTGGTTAGATTAGCGAAAGGCTTTGTTAATAGCCGATGGTAGACCTGACGTTGATTCAAGTACACTTGACATCTATGAGACTTAACGACTCATCAAAAAGTACCTAATGATTTTGAGTCGTCATTTCATGATTAGAGTAAATGCTCTAATGAAATTTATTAAAAATGATGATGAGGTATTTGAAGAAAAAGTAAAAGACTTTTGGTACCGTATTGAGTTTCAGAATTGTGGTAGTTTTCACCTTCATATGGTGGTTTGGTTAGAAAATCATCCAGCATTTGAATTGGAATTCTTCTACTTGATGGTAACTGCTCGAATCCCTACAGAAGAAGAAGATCCAGAGCTTTCCAACTTGGGAAGAAATGTCAAGTTCATCAACAAACACTAACTTGTACGAAGAACAATACCTCTGTAAAATGTCGATTTAACTTTCCACGTATGACGGATAGTATCACATTCTTCTGATGATTTCCTCCGTAATGGGGGCAGAATTTCCTTACTTAAGCGCTGTAAAGAAGATCCTTGGGTAAATAATTATCACCCAGAGTTTTTGAGGCTGTGGGCAGGTAATATTGACATTTAGCCGTGTGGATCAAACGAAGCGATAGCATACTATATTGCAAAGTATCTATCAAAAGCAGAACCTGAGGGTGTCGATTCTGCAGTTGCACAGGCAATACAACAAATCCAACACGAAAAGACTGATATTTCACGCAAACTGCTCAAAATATGTATGAAGATGTTTCATGAACGACAAATATCAGCTGCAGAATGTGCATCGGCCTTGTCATATCCTATTGCGGCACAGTGCACGAAATTTTATTTTCCTGAACACAAGAAAGCCAGAACAGCGTTACAGAGTATTTCAGTTCGACAGAAGCGAACACGCAGTTGGCTACTACAGCAATATTTTCTAAAGATATGAAAATCATTCGTTACAACATCCTGACTACGGTTTTGCGAACATGAGCCTTACAGAGTTTGCTATGTTGTTTGAACCTCACTTTCCAATAGCGGTAAGTGATACCGAGGGAAACATTGATCATAACGCCTATGAAGAACAATCAAAAATGCGTCGTCCACTCATCACTCTGTTGAAAAATATTCCTGTAGTTGTCAAAGTTCCATATTTTATAGCAGCTTCGGATTCAGAAAACTTTTTCTACAGCTTACTCCTTCAAAATATGCCTTGTCGTTCGGAAACTGAAATACTTGGAGGCTTCGATAATGGAAAAGAAGCTTTCCTAACTCGATAGTGTCGTTTAAGGGAAACGAGTAGACATATGTGCCAACATCGAGACCAACAGCTTGAAAATGCATTCAACCAGATACATGCCTTCGAAATTTTAGAACAGCCAAAGATTATAAATTCTGACTTTGAAGAGGAAGAGTTACCAGAGAGAGAAATGAGCAATGATTAATTTTAAAGAGCGCAACATGCTATGAATGTTGATCAAAGACAATTGTTCATTCTTATCACAGAGAGAATCAAAAACCAAATGAAGAGTGATGTTAAACGAGAGAAAATCTTTGCAGCTGGTGGAGCAGGCACAGGAAAAACTTTTCTCTTTAATCTATTGAAAAACCAAGTAAAAAGATGTTATGGAAAACCGAAGGTAAAAGTTGGTGCTCTCACTGGTGTTGCAGCACGATTGATTTAAAAAAACTGAAGGTCTTCCGAAAGTACTGAATATATTAGTGGGAGCTAAAGTGATGTTAAGGTAGAACATTGACGTGTCAAAAGGTTTATTGAATGGTAATATGGGTTTTATCACGAAAATCGTCAGTATACGCGGACGACATCCCGTCCGTACGTATCGATGTCGGTTCAGATGGTGCGCACATGATTAAATCGATATCGATACAGTTCCCAGCAAAATACAGCTATGGAACTGCTGAGAAAGGAATGTTACCAGTAATTCTGAGTTGGGCTTCAACTGTCCACAAGATGCAAGGTTGTACAGTTGATCATGCAGTTGTTTATCTAGGCTCGCGACTGTTTGCTGCTGGACAAGCTAATGTAGCACTTAGTCGTGTAAGATCTTTAGATGGTATTCGGATTGAAGAACTTGATTGCTCTAAGTTAACAGGAAAAACCCCATGCTACAGTGTAGCTTCAGATTAAATGACTAGATTACGAAATAGTGCATTTGACAGGCTTTTCGTTAATTTTTTGATAGTAATACGCAGCGTATACATATTATGGCTAGGCCTTTAAAGGTATTTATAAAAGCGTGGTTTTTTAGTTTTTTTATACATTATTTTAGACATTTTAATACTACCGCATGTCCGCGAATAACTAATTGTTAATGGAACTGAAAAATTAAAAATAAATAATGTATAAAAAAAACTAAAAAACCACGCTTTTATAAATACCTTTAAAGGCCTAGCCATAATATGTACACGCTGCGTATTACTATCAAAAAATTAACGAAAAGTCTGTCAAATGCATACGGAACAGAGTGTAGACTTCTAGATAGGTAGAGAAAATTGTCAAACAAGAAACAATTTGTGTTTCGCAATACAGAAATTAAATAAAAATTTAAATATTTAAAAATAATTAAATTGCTTACTCTTCTTTTAAACGGAATATGCACATTAACAAAAATTTGTGAAATTAAAAAAAAGAGTTTGGTTATGTTCAGTGAGGTAAATAAACAGAAAGAGGAAGAAGGATAGTTTTTTTTTACGAAACTTTCGTTGTCTTCCAATGTCAAACTCAAAATAATTTATTCGTTGACAAAAGGCGAAAACAGCTGATTGCGTACGGAAAGTGTGACATGTTTCGCATTTTCCTTACGCAAGGGACGTTTGATAAATTTTAACGAAACTTTATATAAAGTACATTATTGTTACAGAATACAATTTATGTGCATTCGGACAGTTACTTACGCTGACTTAAGCTTGCTTATTCACATTATAGTTAGCCCTTAAATCATAAGTAAAGTTTTTCATAAATTCGATTTATTCACACAACAACAAAACAATCTACATATTTGATAAACAACCAAAAAAATTAAAACATATAAATTTTTCATCTGAATAACATCCTCTATCCGCGCATACTCATTTTAACCCCGAATTGGGGGGAGTATATTCTAAAGCCCACATCACAATCACAATATAATATTGTAAACATGTTGCCTTTGTTATGACAAATCTACAAATCTCTTTCTCTGACCGATATGTACGTTATTTAATGTCAATGACATCATTTACATGTTTACCAATGTTCGATATGTGGAGCCTAGCAATGGTATAGAAAAACTACTTTTTATTGACCATTATTACAAATCAGGTGCTCTACTTTTGTTAATTTGAACAATTATGTATCATTAACAATAAAAGCGTTAAAACTAAATCTAGTTCGAGAGATATGAAATTTCTCCCTAAATTACACAGTGTCAGGCCATTTTTTCAATTATGTAGAACTACTGAAGTCCATTGCTGAATTCCATATAAGCCATGTGAACATCAACGAAATATTAATAAGATAAGCAAAATCGAACAAGATAAATGCCGTTAAGAGATAAATTATAATGTACTATAACGAAACCACAAATTAAGCTAAAATTCTTAAATTTAGTACAGATGGTTACAGTAGGAAGGTTCCTATGGTTCCTTACTTTTCTGAACTAACTTTAAGTGAGTATTATCTAGTATCTGATCTTAACTAGACCATAATATTATTACAGGAGGAGAAAACAACTTTTGAGTTGAATTAAGGCTACTTAATAACCAAGAATAATATTGTGACGAACATTGATGATAGAACAAAATCGAACCGACGATAAATTGCCAGAAGCAACTAGACAGCAAAGTCGTAGTTGCTAGAATGTTCTAGAGGCGATGTTTTATTAAAGATGTACTATATAAGGCCTGCCAGATTGTGCAGCAAAGCCAGTTCTAGTTAAAGTGTTGTCGTGTTAAGAGCAACTGAGACATAAGCAAGGAGTGGTCAGCTCGAATAACGAGCAATAAGTGTTAAGTTGTTGGACTTAGAAATAAAGATAAATGTATGGCCATTAAATTGGGACTTTTATTTGACAATCCAGTGATCGAACTCAAGAGTGAGTTACAAGGAATACGATTTATCGAGAAACCGGTTACAATATATTAGAAGATTACGCCAACCGCCATCTTGTGACCTAATTCTTTTGAGTTGAGAAGAAGAAGCATAGGACTGCATGTAAATTGTAAACCAAAATTAAACGTAAACACGTTTGTTAATTCATGAAATCGACTTAATGTAATTGTTTATAGTGAAAATATCTTACTGAAATGAATATAATAATGTCACGGCAAAATATGTTGGTCATTTTTAAATAAATACCTTTACTTTACTTATTGGCAATTATGTTGTCAATAGATAAATGCATTTATTTGAAAATTAGCCAAATATTTACTCGCAACATTAATCTAAAAAGATTGAAAGACAGCTATATGCTATAGTGACCAGATTTGAACAATTTGTTCGGAAATTATAGTTTTACCTTGAACAATAACACGGGTCAACAAAAAAAATAATTGTTGTTTGTCCTAAACTTTATACTATGATTTTTCGATTATTTAGACACAAAAACGAAAAGAAAATACTTTTTTTTTTGGTATAAAGTTTGCTTTTGCGATAATTATAATGATAATACACTTTATTAAATTTTTTAAAAATTTTTATTAGTTTTAATGCATTCAAAAATACCGCGCTATTGGAGTCGAGTTTTTATATTCAAAGAGTGCCTCCAGATGGCACTCAAGTGATAAATAAGGATCAGGTGTTTCGTACATATCCAGAAACGTTAAAATGTCATCGAGAAATTGTAAATATTATACGATGCTGATGCTTTTGGTTATATATATGTGGTGAATTTATGAAAGTTAGAGACACTAAATATGAGTTAAAGTCATGTCAAGTTTTCTGCGATGCCTATGAAGCATATTTTGACTACTGTTCGAAATCAAGATAAATCATGAACTCCACATATTGCTTGTGGTTATCGTAAAAGATGTTTGGAAGGTGAGCGATTTTTAATTGAGCGGCGAATCGACTGTAATAGAAATTTATTTAAATGATATATTTTAGGCTAGTATCGAGGTGAAAAAAGGTCTATGAAGTTTGCGACACCAAGAATTCGGCGTGAACCAAAGGTCCATGTCCATGATTTCTACTTTTGTATTGTTAACCCGAGTAAACGACGTAGAGGTAAAAATGCAAAACCTGTCGAATATCCTGACCTTGCTTCTTCTTCTGCTCCAATTCCACATGACCTGACTCGACCAGTGCCAAACAACCAAAATACCATCTTATTAGTACAGAATGACCTAATAAGAGATTTTAATTTACCAAAAAATAAAGCAGAGCTTTTAGGCTCCCGGTTAAAACAATGGAATTTGCTTGTTGATGTTAATACTTGTATAACAGATTAACGAACTAGGCATGAGACATTTTCAACGTTTTTCACAAGAAAGAAGAAATTGGCATATCTTGCATTCCTAGCGAATGGCGCTTATTTATAGACAGCTCTACCAAAAGGTTGATAGCCGTTTTATTACACATAGGAAATAAATTTCCATCCCTTCTAATTGCTCACTCGGTACATATGAAAGAAAATTATGATAGTGTTAAAATCTTGCTTGACACAGTAAAGTATGACGAGTACAATTGGCAGTTGATTGGTGATTTTAAAATGGTCAGATTTTTAATGGGATTACAGAGCGGATATACCAAGTTTCCGTGCTATCTGTGCTTATGGGACAGCAGAGCGGATGCTAAGCACTACATTCAACGGTCTTGGCCTGAAAGAACCGAATTTTGTATCGGGAAACAAAACGTAAAATTCAGTTCTATTGTGGAAGCAGAAAAAGTGTTAATGCCACCTCTCCATATTAAGTTGGGATTCATGAAACAATTCGTGAAAAAACTCGATCAAACTTCAGAAGTTTTTGAATACTTAAGAAATTTTTTTCGGAAATTATCAGAAGCAAAGGTAAAAGCTGGGATTTTTGTTGGTCCACAAATTAGAAAAATTTTCGGCGATGACTTATTTGAATAGTGAAACTTAATAAAAATGATAAATATATTTATCTATGTAGTTCTTTCCTAAATTAAACATTAAAACCACATATTTTGAGAAAATTCGCTTAATTAGTTTCCTGACCACAAAAGCAAACTTTTGAAGGTCATATATTTTTTTTTCATGTATTTGTGACCTAAACCAAAGAAATTGTAAACTTTCAAGTCGAGGTCAAATTTCGTGTTGACACGTGTAATCTATTCCACATTTTGCTAAGACATCTAGTAAAATAAACAGAGTTTTCCATACAAGAACTCGATATACGAAAATTATGGCACAAAGCGCCCCAAGCTTTTTTCTCAATTATACTATTATTATACTCTCGCAACCTGTTGCTACAGAGTATAATAGTTTTGTTCACCTAACGGTTGTTTGTATCACCTAAAACTAATCGAGTTAGATATAGGGTTATATATATATATATATGATCAGGATGAAGAGATGAGTTGAAATCCGGGTGACTGTCTGTCCGTCCGTCCGTCCGTCCGTCCGTGCAAGCTCTAACTTGAGTAAAAATTGAGATATCTTTATGAAACTTGGTAGACATGTTTCTTGGTACCGTGAGACGGTTGGTATTGCAGATGGGCGTAATGGGACCACTGCCACGCCCACAAAACGCCATTATTCAAAAACAAATAAATTGCCATAACTAAGCTCCACAACAAGATACAAGACTCTTATTTTGTATACAGGATCACAAAAGAGAGGGGCATCTGCAGTTAAAATTTTTTAACTTAGGTTTAATGTGCATATCTCCTAAACTGCTAATGCTATAATAACAAAATTCACTGGAAGCAAATGTTTTTAGAATCTCTACCTACAGTGTGAAAATGGGTGAAATCGGATGGCAACTCCGCCCACTCCCCATATAACGGTACTGTTAAAAACTACTAAAAGCGTAATAAATCAAGCACTAAACACGCCAGAGACATTAAATTTTATCTCTGGGATGGTATTATTTTTAAACTATATTTATTTTCAACTTTTTAGTTCGATATTCTTTAAAAGCGTGTTTTTATAGTTTTTAAACTATATTTTTTTTCACTTTTTAGTTCGATTTATTGTCAATAGATTTTTTCTTTAAGTTCTCGTTGATAGTATTATAAATTTCTAACAGAGGGTGCATGAATGTAAAATTCTTCTCGAACAACGTAATAAAATTTAAGGTGTTAACTTGTGAAAAGTAATATTGATGCAGATAGTATAATATAATGAATTTGGTTGAAATCGGTTAAGCAGCTCCTAAGATATGTGTTTTCACCTAAAAGTGGGCGGGGCCACGCCCACTGACTAATTTTGAATGCGGTACCTATAAGGTCATCTCATACCATCCTAGAGATAAAAGTTAATGTCTCTGGCGTATTTAGTGTTTGGTTTATCGTGCTTTTAATATTTTTTAACAGTACCGTTATATGGGGAGTGGGCGGGGTTGTCACCCGATTTCCACTGTCGATAGAGATGCTAAAAACATTTGCTTCCAGTGAATTTTGTTATTATAGCTTCAGCGGTTTAGGAGATATGCACATTAAACCTATTAGGGGCGGGACCACGCCCACTTAAAAATATAACCGCAGGTTCCCCTACCTAATTTGATCCTATGTACCAAATAACAGTCTTGTATCTTATTGCGGAGCTTACAAGAAGTTGATGTAAATCGATGAGCTTACATGACAGTCATATCTTATAGTGGTCCGATATCGGTTCTGACAAATGAGGTGCTGCCTGAGGGGAAAGGGCGTGCGCAAAATTTCGGATCGGTATCTAGTAGTTCGCGTATGTACTGAAATACGAACATCGCGAACTCGACTCAGTTCGTCACGCTGATCATTTATATAAGTAAATATGTATACTTCATAGGGTTTCCAACAAACTTAAAATACCCTGTTCAGAATAGAATTACTGATTAAAATAAAACATACTTAATTTATATATATGTACGTATATAATTCTTCTGTACATATGTATGTCACTGAACTGCTCCTAAACGGCTTGACCGTTTTTGAGTGGCTTCAGGTGGATTCGAGAATGGTGTGAATTTACAATTCGGCCCAACTTAAAAGGGTATTTATTTAATTTTAAATTTATAAATTATTTTATATTTCGGAATGTTTTATGTTGTTAGTTGTAAAAGATGGTGCTACAGACAAATTCAGTAAATTATATGAAATTTCTCATCGTTATTGTATTGTAAAAAATCATGCCTGTTGTGAAATATTATATTATATTAGGACGTAGTTAGTGTGTTTGTGAATTTAGCGCGACATGGAAGCATGTTTGTAAATTTTTAATTTTCTATCAAATGTTCACATGCGTTGATTAAAAACCGCGCTACAAATCTACAATCAAATTTCATATTAATTCCAGTTTGTTTACACAGATGGTGCTAAGGTCAAATTCAGAAAAATATTTGAAACTTCGAATCATTATTATATAATACAATAGGGTACAATTAGGGCATTTAATAAAAAGTATATTTCCAAATTTGAGACATAGTTATACTAATCATGGTCATGGCTACAAGAATAAGCCATTTTAGCCGCAAATTTAGAAGTTGACGAAATTAATTTAATTATACAACAAACAATGAAATAACTGGCTATGAAATAACATTCAAATCGACTGACACTGTTGTTGATCCGGATGAAGTTGTCAAGTATCCTGTAGAGTTTTTAAATTTATAAGATTAAGCTTAAATTTCAAAATTTAAATGCCTCGAAAATGTGTAATGGCACGAGACTAACTATAAAAAAATCATGCGCAAAATTCTTGAATCCACAATTTTTAGTGGAAAATTTCAAGGTGAAACGGTACTTGATGATGCCAAATTGCTTTATTACGAGGCTGCTATATAGCTGGCTGGCCTAGTCTAAGTGCTGCCAGGTGCAATCTAACATTTCCATTTGAAAGTTTGACATTTTTTAGCATAACATCACTCAGAACGTTTAGTCATTTAATCGTGAATTGTTTTATTTACAGGGAATTAAAAAATTCATCTCGGCCAAAAAATGGAATTAATTCGTGAACATTTTCGTGCGATCATATTTTACAACTTTCGACGTGGATTATCACGACAAGAGTGCATCGATGAACTAAAATCTTTGTATGGCTATGAAGCACCATCCTATAGCACTGTGAAAAACTGGTATTCCGTGGTCAAAGACGAATCCCGTGAAGGTCGTTCAAAAACAGCCGTTGTGCCAGAATACATCGATGCCGTACGTGAACTGATAATGCAAGATCGTCATGTAACATACCCTTAGATAGAGGCATGCCTATGCATTTCTCCCACCAGCATACATTCGATATTGCATGAACACCTGGCCGGATCTCGTTGGATCCCGCACAATTTGACAATCGCTCAAAAAAAGGCTCGTGTGGATTGGTGTAAAGAAATGCTGAAAAAATATGACCGAAAAAAAACCATTTTCGTTGTTAAATATTCGTATTTTCATTATTAGGCCAGAAATATATATAGCAGCCCTCGTATATGTTGCGTGTTCCAGGGTGGGCAAACCATCGTTTTGTTCATACAGGAGTTAACCAAAAATATTGTTTTTGTACATAAAATAAAAAAACTGTTTGTTGCGTGTTCCAGGGTTGGAAAACCATCGAGTTTGTTTATACTTATAGACTCCTCAGGGGTTAACCAAAAATATTGTTTTTGTACATAAAATTAAAAAAAACTGTCGATCGAATTGTGATAAATGAACATTAAATGATGTCAGATATTAAAATAACTTTTAAATCAAGAAGGTCTAAATTGTTTCAGTTTATTCAAAAATACCTGATGATTTACATAATTTAGTGATTATAATTTGTAACTAAAAACCATAGAAACTCTCAATAACACATACTTTATTTTTCGATCAATATCAGGCACCACTCGTCGAACCAAACAAGAAAATATTCAAAAGTTCTTCTTAGCAAATTACCTAAGCAAAATAATTAATTACATATTATAGTTTTAGAATTTTAGCATTTAGGGCAAACATTGCATCATACAATACAATACTACAAATACATTACTTGTTAAAGCAATATTAGGTCATTTCAAGATTAACACAAGTTGACTGAGCTGTTTTGCTTAGTATCAAAATGTTGATATAAATATGTATTTTATTTAAAAAAGTAATATGCATAATCATCAAACAATTATGTATCCAGCAAAAATGTCCAAAACACTTTCTTGGTATTATTATCTTTTTTATTAAATATATAATACAAAAATTAAAAATATATTTAATTTTTTTAAAGTTTTTTTTCATTGCTCATTAACTGTGTATAACCCACTGATTGACACATGCATTTACAGCCGTCAAAGCCTCCGCATTCACTATGTGGCACGCCCAAACAAAACGATCGCTTTAATAGTTCAAACCGTCACCGACGCAAAACCGTGGATCAAATCAGCTAATACGACCTATCCTATGATTGATGATATGAGCGCAATGCAAATGTACACTTAACCACCGCTTCCACCGTCCGCTTCTACAGACCGTACGGTAGGATATCCGCGAAAATTGGATTTTTTCCGTAAAAACGAGTGCGCTGAGAGCAAGAGAGCAATCTCTTGCAACGCAGGGTTGTCAGTCTCGATACTTTGTACTAATTAAAAAATAACCTTGAATATATAATATTTGAAATATTATTAAACTAACTCAAAATCACAGTCGACTACATTTATTTATAAATAGGTAGACTATTTTTAATAGTTGGATTTTAGTTTTGAGCTTTTACATTATGAAAAATTATAACTAAAAAACTATATGTGTAAAAAATCGTGTATACAAATAGAACAATGGTCACTTTGTTGGAATGAAAACAAAAGAGAACAATTCCTCGTTGCAACTACGGGCATAACTTTTGGCAAATTTGGTTTGATACGGGCGGTAAGTACGGACGGGAGGAATGTCGATGACTGTTTGAGCTATAAGAAACTACGGCTATAGCGGCATTTACCGGGGAACAGTTTGAAGTCGTGTCATGTTTTGGAAACAATTTGGAACAATGGCAGCTTCTTACGCTCGTAGTTGTGAAGAGAGTAGTGCGATTTTTGTCATTTATTTATTTTTGTTTTATTTTGAACTGTCAGTTTACGTGTTGCATCCAAAAAATGCCTATTCAAAGCAATAAACCTGTCATTTACGTTTTTAAATTTTTGCTGGAGCCATAACGGTTATAGCCGTGACCTAGCTTAAGGTACTGAATCAATCAAAATTAGGTTTAGTTAACCCCGACGTTACACGATCAAGAAACTGCTTTCAAGTGGCAATACATTCACACTTTTATACTACCACACTCTCACTTTTCGATTTTGAAAGCCGTCTTGTTATCAATT